AAGTACGAAAAAAAGACAGCTATTTTTATTGATTTTAAACTGCTGTGTTAGCCAAGTGAAACTTTGTTGTGGGTGAGTAAAGCGCCGTTTAAAGCTGTTTACTAGTCCAAAAATTTTTTGATTTTTTTTGTTGCTCTTCGACATATCTGCTTGTCTATTAACTTCTTTAAAGTTGAGCATTGCTTGTTGATAGTGGAGTTTCTTCTCATGTGACCTGTATTATCTTATATCGATGCACGGTAAACCAGGTATTGAGTGACATCGAATTTGCTTCTTTGTTAATGTTACTAACTTTTGCAGTGTATCTTAAAACATGTCTGGACGTGGTAAAGGAGGTAAAGGGTTAGGAAAAGGTGGTGCTAAACGTCACAGAAAGGTGCTTCGTGATAATATCCAAGGCATCACTAAGCCGGCAATTCGTCGTCTGGCGCGTCGTGGCGGCGTCAAACGTATTTCGGGGCTCATCTATGAAGAAACCCGTGGTGTTCTGAAAGTATTCTTAGAGAACGTTATTCGAGATGCAGTCACCTACTGCGAACATGCAAAACGTAAGACAGTCACAGCCATGGACGTGGTTTATGCACTGAAGCGCCAAGGACGTACACTTTACGGTTTTGGAGGTTAATTTCTTTTGTTCTTCTCAGCTCGATATGAAAGGAGTCGAGAATTTCGGCGGCCGTGCTCGGAACATCTACAACTTATTGTGTTCTTTTTATTCATTCTCTAATTTTTACTCGTTTTACTCTTATTTCCTCTCTTAATCTTAATGCTAAAACGTAGGTATGATCCGTGACAGCTTATTACACAATTCACTCGTTCCATTTTCTTTTGCTCGTGTTTTTTTACCATGTAACTTATATCCATGTAACTTACATTTTTTGTTTTAACAAAAATCCTTGTGTTTGCAGTTTTTTAAATATTTTTTTACATTGATACATTTACTCGACTTCATTGGTACTGATATTTTTTTTATCTCAGTTGATTTGAGTGTTAAGTACATTGTGCTCCATTTAAGCTGATCTATTCTTCTCTTGTTTTTTTCATTCTTTTCAACAATAAAACTTTGGATTGACTATTGTTGCGCACTGAAGGGGAGATCTGTAGTTGTGTCTTACAGGAGTGGACGCCACTTGGTGTGAAGTAAAGTGTGAGGATACCAGTTTTGTTATTTAGCAAGGAGGATTTTTATCTGATAACATACATC